TATATATATATATATATATATTTTCCTTTTCTTCTTCTTTCACGCGATATATCAAAGTTAAAAGATCTTGGCCACCGAAGATTAGGAGATTATTAAATTTAAATAGATAGTGACACGAGGATGAGAGATCCGTTTTTGAAAACCCACATCTTTCTTTTGGTGGCGGCCTTTTTTTGCCTCACAAAAGTCGTAGTTTCTTTCGATTCGGCGGCAGGGCAGGACGGAAGGGGTTTGAAAACGGTGAAGTGTGTAACGGCTTTAATAGCGGCAGATCGCTACGCAGTAAACGACTGACGGACGACAGAAGATTAAAGTTGGCCGTTAACTCGATCTAATTGTTCCCCCGGCTTGGCCTTCCTTTATTAATCCACGTCCACAAGCATCTTCGGCATCGCCATCATTGTCATCCCTTGTCACGAGCCTCCTTCTCGATGCTACTTGCGGATCCATCGTTGCGTCTTCTCTAAATTGTCTTGCAACTTCGAGGCAAATCGTGACCGCGGTTAGTAGTAACCGCGTCTCAGACTCGGACGAGGATTGAATTCCTTCCTATAAAATTCGCGATGTTCGTAATAATCGTCATGATTTATCCTTGTGGAACTCGAATTGAATAGAGGAACTCGGTCTTTTCGGATCCATTTGTTCCAACGAATTTAATAAAGAAGAATTAAAAGAAAAAAGAAGAACAAGAAGAAGAAAGAAACTGCATATATAATTATCTTTTTAAATTCAAAAGGGAGAAACATCGATCGAAAAAGACTCGTATTACTCGTAGAAATGGATCTGTTCTCCTCTCGCCGCTATTTTTTACAGATCACGATTATACTATTATCGATATAGGATGAAAATTCCAACAATCGTCTTCAGCAACCATCTTTTATTCTTTCCTTGGGCGCGTTATAAAATTTCGATCAGAGACGTCCTCGTAAAAAAATAATTTCGGAGGACGCGTTTCCAGAATTTTTTTCAAGGCTCGCGCGCCGCCTTCGCTCTATAGAATAGAAACGTCTCTGGTGGAAACGTGAAGCGAATCCTCCATGACCCTCCAGATGTATACGTTCACGCGGAGACGCGTGTACGGGAGTGCAAGTGTATGCAAGCAGTGCCGAACCCGGACCAAAGTAAGACCCATCTGCCGGACGGTTAGCGCGATGGTGACGGTTTTTCTCGCCGGTTTGCACCGTCGGTTTTTACCGCATTCCACCAGGGCCAGACGGTGGCATTTGCGTAAGCAGTTCTTCCTATCTTGGCCGGAGTGTCACATCTGTCCGGACTTCCTCTATCTCCTCTTTCTTTTCGCTTTTGCCCTCCCTCCCTCCCTTCCCTCCCTCGACTCGTGTTCCACCTTTTACCCCGCTCGATTATTGCCATTCTCGCTTTCTCGCTTTCCTTTTCCTTTCTTTTTTCTCTTCCTTTTTTTTTCTCCCCCCTTCCCCACTTTTTATCTCATTTTTTCCCTTTTGCAACATCATCCCGTGTATCCCGTTGAGATACTTTAGACTTTACGACGGATTTTATATAGATAGTCTTGTCTTCGCTCGTGATGATTAGTACTACTTGAATTAATACCGCATTCGAGCCAGAATTCTTAATCGCGCGCGCGTTTGAAGCAAGGAAATTTAATAAATTGTTCTGATAATTTAATCTGATTTTGCCAATACCGCAACTTTGGCTTTATCGATAAAACAGGGTAATCTCTTATAATAATTGATTTATTTATCTGGCTCTTATCTAAAACGATGAACTAGCTAAAGATCTAATAATAATCGAACACGACAACTTTTCTCTTTTTTTTCTTTTTAATATTATCACGTGTTATATATATATATACTCGTTCTAATAAAAATATATTCACGCGTATTCATCCTCCGTTTCAACTTTTTCCCGCAGGATCGTGCGATTCTTCTTCTTCTTTTTTTTCTTCTTCTCTCTCTGGTTTTTTTTTCTTTTTTTTTTTTTTTTTCCCCCCCGGGTTTTTTTTTTTTTTTTTTTTTTTTTTACCACGACGGACTCGCACGCGTTTCTCATTACATTAGGCTACTCTACCGAGACTCCTGACGTATTTTGATTCGATTGCAACACCATCAGGAGACGCGATAATAATCGGAGAACAGGGGGATGGTGGAGAGAGAGGTTTAAATGCGATTAACCGACTCCGGTGTATTATATACCCAGGCACGTGACCGCGTGTCACGCGCACGGATTATAAATATAATATACCGTAGGATGTGCATCGTGCATCCTGCGAGAGTTGGATTGATATTGTTCCCTCGGCTGGTGGAAGGGTGGCGGAACGATCCCTCCCCTCGTTCCCGTCACAGAAGCAGCAAGCGATACCCGATTTTCTGACCGATGTACCTCGTAAATCACTGCCTTCGAGATCGTTCACGATTATTAGAAATACCAGACGCGAGGCTCGTTCGACGTTGAAAGCTTCGTGGCTCGATTTCACGCATTGATTTGATTCATCGATGAAACACACCGCCGATGATTGACTCCGTTTCGATGATCGATCATCGGCCATTGTTGTGATTTGTAAATTTTCGACCGAGTTGATAATTTATCTCGAGTGTGATCACGAGTATCGATACGTGATATCGAATGTGATCACTTCTTATTTCATTCTCACGTTTTCGATTAATTTCCAGGATTTTTGTAATCGAGAAAAAGTCAAGGTTTGATCTAATTTTTCAGATAATGCGAAGTAAGGAATTAGAAGAATCTAATTCGTTCATAGATACGAATCTATGAGGTACAAGGTCTCTTTAATCTTCCGCTTCTTCTATTATATCTTCTTTTGATAAGAAAGTAGAGATTTAGAGTATGACTCAAACTTTTATCCCATATAAACGATCGATTCAGCGATAATTCTTTCTTTCTTTCGATTCTTTCATGGATTCTTCGAAAATGGTAAGAAAAAAAAAAGAAAGAAAGAAAGAAAGAAAGAAAGAAAAATTAATCTAAAACGCAAAGAATTCGCTCCTTTTTTCAGAACGATTGTCCTTCGGAGTGGGTCGCCTGGTGGGTTCTCCAGCAACGAGGAGTCCATCCCCGTCGCACTCGCCCTGTCCGGACTCTCCCCCGTCGGATCGCCGGGACGGCGAGGTGGACGTGGACGTGGAAGAGGAGGAAGTGGACGTAGACGTGGAGGAAGTGGGCGACGAGGACGATCGCGACGCCACGTCGAGTCCACCCCGTTCCTCGACCACCCCTTCGCCGACAAGCGTCGCGATATCGCCCACCTTGAATCCACCCAAGAAATCGGGCGATAGTTTCAGCGTCTCTGCCCTTCTCAGGCCGGATCCACCCTCTGCCCACCTGCAAAACGCGTCCCCGCACAGGGACACGACGTCGATCGGCGCCCATCCACCTCCGCCCGGATCCTCGATGCTCTACCCACCCCTTCACCTTCAAGGTGGACTGTTGCCACCCCATCCTCACCATCCCCTGTCGTACCTGCACCCTCAATTGCTCCCCCATCATTTGTTACCTCCACACTTGCTGCTACGTGGCGTCCATCCGGGTCACCCTGGACTCCACTCCACCCACACAGCGCACGGTCTCCATCATCATCCTCTGGGCGATGTCTACAGTTGCGTCAAATGCGACAAGATGTTCAGCACGCCTCACGGTCTCGAGGTAGGTTAATC